TATATTCTAACTAACGTTCAGTTACTTTCATTTTAACAAAATAGTGAATTTAGTCTACGTAAGTTGTCTCATAACTATTTAAACTAGTTTAATGAGTAGCTTGTTATCAGTTCACCTCACTTATCCTTTGTTTTGTCAGTGTGCAGTTTAGGCATACTCTAACCTAAAAAGGCTAGCAATATTTTAGGTTAGACTATGCAGATTCTTTTCCGTCGTGTATTTTAGCCAAATTCGAAAGATTGATCAATTCCATCCATCAGCACAGATATGGAATCTGTTATAGCATAATGAAGGTAAATGTTGCAGTTCCTACAACACTGGCGAAAAGCAGATGCCAGGGATAGTGACCCCCGTCAACGTCGGGCAATCCAACGTATTTACGTTTAGTCGTCCTTCCTTTCATTCGTCACAAAATCATCGCATGTATCATCTTGTGTTGCTGCTTCGCTCTTCTGCTGTCCAATGTTGTGCTATTGATTTGTCGCCATCGGTAGCTTGTTCCGTAGCGTTCTTTATGTATCCAGCACCGTTACGGCAGCAGAATGATGAACACACGAAGGCGAAGGAAAGGGACGAAAAAAACGGATTTTTATTGGTACCGAACGTTGATTCGATATCGAGGTTCATCATTGAAGAACTGCCCTTCACACATAGAGGAGTAAGCCGAAGGTGAAGAACATTTGAGGGCCAACCGACATAACTTTATGGTAGCAACATCGATTGTGCGGACGACATTGCGGGCAGAGCATCGAAGCCGATAGCCAACAAACGTCATTTATGTCATCAGCTAGCATAAAACCCCCACTGATGTTTCGGGTAAGAGGAACCTGCCACATGCGATATATACAGTAGACATTCGAGCCTTTCTAGAAAATTTCCCGTTGACTCGGTGCCGGCGGTGACGTCAAATGACCTCCTGAGATCATTCGAAAAGTTCGATTCCTTTTTGCTGGAAGACACCAGATCGTCGATTTTGGCCTCGTGCTTCGTTGGTGAAGAGCGTTTGGGACTTGACTTGTTCATTTTACAGTTTGGTACCAGCTGCGGAATGGATCCGTAGCGATATTTTAGCGCTGCATACTATTAGCTCTACTGTGAGACCCTGTAGCTCACAAAGACGATAACACAAGAACAGTTACTTCGCGGCTGAGCTCGTTCATGCACATGTGTGATATTGTGTAAATACTGATAGAATCGTATCTAAAGCGAAAACTGTGCAGCTAGCAACTGGCTGATTTATGTATGTACTTCTATTTTATGTGTATTCTTGTAAAAATCATAGATAGAATAACTATGAAATTTGTATGTAGCGGACGTCCGACAACTCATGTACTCTGCCAACGGAAGCAATCGTTCTCACAGGGCCTTTGCACGTATACTGTCACGTATAGCTAGCGTTAGTTGGTGTATCAGATTAGGCAACAGCATCGATTCGTTTAATAAATCGTATGACCGCCGTACGCTAATTATGACAGCGTTTTTGTTGCTGTTATCGACACGTCCCACCCACAGTGTGTACAGACAAGTTCTTGCGTCTAGCACGTTGAGCTTACCCCGCTGAACTGGGACGCACTTCAAGACCCACCATCTCCAGCACTAGCACCTTACCACGCACCACAACCGTCGATCTGTCATGTGTTCGAATCTATCTACAATGTTAAGTCGGCCCTAACATTCGCGTAATGGTAGCGATCCGTACGATTGTCAATCCAGTGCCGTTGATCGCCAGATTGCCAACCTACGAAAACTCGCACAACTATAGAACGTTAGCTAATTCTAGTATGTGATTTATAATTGAGCTGATATACGAATTTCTTATACGACAGTTCGTACGAATATATATGTATAATTGAGAGGGAAACACAAGGCGAAAACATCGACTTTTGTGGTGCGCGGTTCGGCTGTAGAAATATATGTATACGCTCTAACTAAATCCTACTTTGATCGATTCGATTTGGTCGTTAATAGACGCAAATGGACTCGCAGTGATACTAGCAACTCTTGCAGTCCGCCATATGGACCGCGTCAGCCAACTGAGCCGTCAGCCGACCGACCATTCCGCAAACAACACATCCATCGCACACACTGTTAACGAAATTAGAACCAGCTTCTTGTGTGCAAATCACACAAAAGAAGAATTCTCACTGCAAAAACACAGACGACTTTTTTCGGCATTTCGTTAGTGTTATCAAACCTTTTCTGCGGAGGCTTCTCCACGCCCAGACTCATTTTCTTTGACTTCTTGCGGGTATCTTCCGCGGCTAATTCTGTGGCGTCACTATGCCGTAGACGATTGATCGATGAGCATAGAACGTTTTGAAGGAGAGCAAGGGAGAGGGGGGACTGGGCCCGAAAACCCAGAAAACAGAAGCTGCTGAAGTAAGAGCAACATCAGCAAAAATGCAGCGCTATGTTAATATATCTCATATAAGAGATAAAAGCGAATTTTACGTCAACAGCAACTCCACAATCGCGGGAATTGGAAACAATAGATCTAAATAATGACAGCGTCGAAGAAGGGTAGCGAATCAATGAAAAAAGGACAAGTAGAAAAAATAACTGCAATGGACAGTACACTCCGCAGGTGACAAATATTGACAGCAGGGTTTGGGCTTCAAGAAAAAAGCTTATGTAGAGAATAGTATTTATTCTATATCGGGCGTGCATTGGAAGTTCCTTATATAACATGATAGGCGCAAGACTTAGTCATTCCATTGAGTCGGTAATAATAGAAATGCTAGTATGAGAGTAGTCTCGATGACCAGAAGGAGCCATTATCGAATAAACGAAAATACACACTATTCATGTCCGATGTGTGTGTTTAACGGATGGTAAGGTCGGGGCTTGCTGCTGCCACTATCACGACGAGCTCTACGGAACAAAAGCGCTAGACATTGACTCGTGAGAATGACCTACCTCAGTCTCTCGATACCCGTGGGGGGGGGGAGGGGTGCTAACAGCCTCTGGTTTTTAGATAGTTGCAGCTACCAGCTGATCTATATACGTTTCGCGTGATCACCTATTCACGCCACTTTCAATTCCAGAGAGCGGCAAACGACGGAAGTACACACAACTCACAGATGCTCTCGATTTCTTTCCTTACTCTGCTATACCGATCTTTTACTCCAGATAAACTGACTAATCTATTCGGCGGTGTATTATTGTCGACGGATGACAATATACAATGTACTGTAACAGCTAACGACGATATAATTCCAAGATGCACTCTGTACACCCTCACACAAACATGACGGTAAAGCTCATCACCAATGAGTATTGTTTCGCCTTGTTTCTGCACGCACTGTGATTATCACTCGTCATACGCCGAGAATAACCGAATAACAAACAAAGTTGCCGAATCTCGACTTCTGCTTCAAAGCGACGAAGTTAACAGGTAAAAAGAATATCGGATTAACAGGGCAGTCCATGAGTATACATCGACGCCTACGATAGGCCACAACTGGTTGGAGCTAACGAAGCTATGCGATAATTCGTCGTGCGATGGCGGAAACTGCTCTCCATATACTTGTACTGGCAGGTGTTATGCACGGTTTAAAATATGAGTATCTGAGTACGTTGTCTGCTTCGTGCTCCTCGATTCGCGGAGGAGCTACGGCGACAAAGTGGTTGTTCGAGCTCTGGACGTCCGTCCGTGCGTCCTACTCTTCCTGCAGCAGGTCTTGCTTCGTCCTGTTTGGTATCGCTGCATCCCTTGAGGACCACATCTACACCAGACCTATACGAAGCGAAAAACTAGAGAAACTTTGCTCGCAGTAAACCCATTAGTACCATGCCACATAGCAGACGAGGTCACGAGACCACTCAAAGAACTGTGATAGTCGGCAGCAACAGTGCGTTTTATTAATAACAGATTATTGCAGCATTAACATAGGCCAATCAGCCTATCCGGCCTGCTACAAAAGCTAAACACAAGCTCAGGTGACGGGCAAGACCAGCGACCTTGGCAAACAAAAATTTCAGTTTGATTCGAGTGGTCTAAACCTCTCGTGGACGCTGAGCGTTCGTCAAATGATGGCGAGACGGCACCTACTATATTACGATCCACAACGGAGCGGCTGCACGTAACACGTAATCCGTTAGAGCTGCAATGTCTAGCACCGGCAGTTATCTTGTTGAGAGAGTGGCGCTTGACATTCATTGAGCAACTGATTCAGTGGCAGATAGATGGCCAATTGGTGACACGAATCCTTGTCGAGCACATTATCACCAAAGCTTTCTCTTTATACATCTATCAGATTTCGGCTGGCCACGCTGCCGTTCGACCCATCTAGCAGCTGAGCCCAGAGGAGCACACGCCCAGATAGAATGTGGGGACAAGATACGTGATGCACATACCCTATTCGTTGGTTTCGTTCTGTTGAAACAAATAGTGTACTGCTTATTTTGCAGTGAGCTCTTCTAGGCGCATTTCTTCAGGTGCATGCAGCGTCTTTAGCCCAGCGTGGAGCACTCTTGTTACCATCACTGCTCGTGCGTGCTGCGTTCTTCTCCCTGTGCTACTGTTGCTCCGATAATAATTCTTATTATTACTGTTTTGCTACCTAAAATGGTCGTTCACGTATATAAACACGTTTGTTTCTACTGATATTATAATGTGGTCGGCAATTATTGTCAGCGCAAAAGGTCCGTTCGCCTGACCCTGAAGCGGATCCTGTTCTCTCGGCCTTCAATGTAAACTAAACGACAATCGACCTGTAGATTAGAGATCGTGGACTGTTAGCGACTCCACAGTTTTCGAATAGCAGCCGGTTTAGCCATATTTGTTCTGGTCCGGCCCGTCGACGCTCGCCGTCCGCCGTCGAACGTTTATCGTCGCCAATATGTGTACCTTTCACACCACACTGCCTCACTCAACTGCTTCTGTAACTAATACCATCCGTTGCCAGCCAGCTTCTTTCCGAAACAGCTCTCTACCATCCGAAGTATACCTGAATCACTAAGCACTGTTCTCGTTCAGCTGTCCAGCTATAAAAACCTACCTGCCAGTAACGCTATTGTTGGCAACGACAACAGCATGGCCAGTGTTGTGTGGGGCCGATGAAAACGCGGCGACGCGATGAGAATGCGGCGACGTTTGCGGTTGTGGCTATGAAGCGGATGGGCGCAAAGCACTGAACAAAGCTCTGTCTCCTTCTCGATAGATGGCCAATTGCAACAAGACTGAACTGGATATCAACAGCAATTGCCGTCTGGTCGCCGGCTTGTGTATCGCGCTCGCTATTTAGCTACTAGACTGAGTTTACGAATGGCTAGCTACACTTTTTATTGAGGCATAGCAAAGTTAGCTAGCTAGCTAGCCAGCCAGCCAGTGTGCCGTGGAAGAGCGCTCGCTGTCCGTAGACGAACCGCAGCAGCAATCGTAAACCCGAAACATCTACAGTTTGTTACTGGTGCTCACTGTTGACGCAGCGCGATCGTCCCAAAGGCTCGTTGTTGCTTTTGCTGTGGCAGTCTCTCCCGCCGCTGGTGCCAGTGCCTGTCTACTGCTGTTGCTGGCTTAGCTTGTTTTCTCCTAGCTTCGCTGGTGTTGTATTCTGCAGCGTGTATCTCGCTCACTCGATTCTGCTGGTTGACTGTTTGTGAGTCTTCCCTCGGTCGACCAGCGTTCGCTTGTTTAGTCGCCTGCGGCTTGTCGCTGGTGAGTCGTCCGTCACTGGCTGTCGCCGTCGAACGGCTAGTTGGTCTGTTGCGTTGCTGGTGGAAGGCCGCCGCCGCCGCCGCCGCCACCGCCGCCATCGAGGAAGGGGGAAAGGACGACGGCGACAACAACACCAGATGGAGGCTGACTCGCCGCCAGACGGCGCCACTGAGTGCTTGTTGAGGCTCGCTGCCATTAGACGAGCGCAGTACCAGCAGGAAGACGCTACTAGCCGACAATGGTACATTGAGTGCCATCGCCGGTAAAACTAGAAAAGCAATGGCAGCGTTGGCGGATACAGGAGGAATCCACTAAGCGAGCCAGCGGCACTAACGGCGCTTGCTCAGTAGCGCCTGTTGCAGTGTTGTTAAGAGCACAGCTGATGATACGATACGTCACTTTCACATGCCTACTGTAGCCTATACTTGCAAGTTCTCCTCGATGTATATCAGCATCGGTCAGCGGAAATCAGTCGCCGTCCCACACATACGCGCGCCTTCAGAACCAGTCTGTCGTTGCTACTTCTGCTATTGCAACAGCATTGTTTTATGCGACGGCAGAGTGAATTAAACAGAGCAATAAGCCATGATTGATCCAGATGTTTGGACAGCCTGCGATTGATGATAGCACTGCGCGAAGATGCGTCAGCGGATTTCCGTTGCTTCGCACGCGGTACACTTAGTTCCTTTGCCCGTTATTGAATAGTATCAGCGATGAAAGAACATCGTTGTATTTGGCATGGAAAAAAGCTTTTGTCGACAATCAGTAACCTGTAATATGCGACAAGTGCCTGCTTGCGTGGGTAACGAACCTCATGGCGAATGGCCAGCATTGAAGACAGCTCCGGGTTTTACTTGACGGGAAATTACTGACGCAAAATCGATCTCCTCTCTATTTACTTTTATTGCGATCGAAGACGAAACGATAGTGTCTATTGTGTACGATCATGCATTGCTAGCTCACGCCGATTGCACTAGTAAGGTCATGGAATGAACGTCCACGTTATCGTGCAGTCGCTTGAATAACAGGAAGTGCAACTAAGTATTTGTTCGATCTCCTCCTGGCATTTGCGAAGCCATATACGGGTACGTTCAAGTTGGAACTTTATCTAAATGAAAACAGGTGACCAGATGACATTTGTTACATCGATTGTCGGTGGCATCGCTGATGGCAGCGCCGATTCAATCAAAGCTTCGTTCAGCTGATTGCGCCTGCAAGTTAAAAGCCGTCCAAATCACTCGAATGTTCAATTTAAAACTTTTATTATCCCAAAGACTTTTTCAATTGGCACGTTGACGCCGACATATCCAATGCTTCTAGACTCTAGACGTTTTGTGCTCCACACATAATAGTTTTCTGCCGGATTGAAATTCGCGCTGAAAAGCGGTCACAGATCCTGATTGTGGAACGTGCTTATACGCTCAGCCAAAGAGATATGCGTTAAGTCGCTTCTACGAGCGAGAGTACTATCTGACTGTAAAAATGCCCGGTCTACCGTATGGCGCAGTGTCCATCCGCGGTTACAGAATAGCGTGCAGAATATGCAAATAAAATTTTTACGGTATCGTCTTTAAAAAAAAAGAACGCTAGCATGATGTCTACTTTCCTCGGTCGAACATTGTCTGTTTGGCTTTATTCACTATGGAGCACATATCCTCGATTATGGGAAAAAGCTAGTGAGCGTCATTGTTATCAAACGTTAGCACGAAAATGTTCAGCTTTTCGTTGGTAAATTACTAAAGACGGCCTACGGGTCTGTTCTTGACACAGGTCAGGTCTCTAACTTTATCGGTGTCGGAAAAGCTTTATCCAATTCTAATTGAATAAGACCTACACGGAAACTTTTCGAAATTATTCGGTCGATTGCAGTTAGCGTCACGTAAAATTCAGCCTTCAGCGCGCAGATCAAGATATCAGAACCAGAGGAAAACGCATTTTCCTGCCCCGGTCACAGTCTTCACGATCTGTTGTCTAATTCTGTAGGCTTTTCAGTAGGTGTTTGGGTATCTGTAAACCCGTCGTTATATACCACTTATAACAAGCTACCGTTTGGTAACAACTGCGGTAGGGCTAGATTTTCTGAGGTGTGACATCAAGTAGCTTAAAGATATATTAGACAGGAAACAGCTTGCCTTGTAGTGGACGCAAAACCTATGACGAATTTTGGCTGATAATGCTATCGATAGCAACGACAGTACGGGCTATATTGTCACCTTATTTTCAGAATGATAACGATCACAGCGGTCGTCATTTTTGGACAAACAATAAAACTGGGTCGGTCTCCTCGCTCGAAGGTCCTGACCTGCGTAGAACAGTAAGCAGCTTTGCTATAAGGCTACGATGTAAGCCTGACAATAAGTTTTGCAAACGAATATTCTTTATGACCCAATGAATACCGCAGCCTGTTAAATAGACAATATGACAAGGCCTAGCACCCTTGTCTAATGAATGGCATGAGTATACCTTTAGTGATGACACAATCAGGGCAGGTGTTGCTTGGTACCCAGGAAATATTGAATATGGGCAGTAGATCCTAGGATAGCGAGAATACCTTAAGTTATTGATTTTAACGTAAATTTCTTATAAACGTATATGGATTACTTGGATGCGACTGAAACGTTCTGGTACTATTAGCAGTCTACGTAAAATTTGTTATATTATCAGTACAACCGGACTCACGCTGGCACCCTCCTGGTTTAATTTTGTTATTACTTTGAACATTGGGATTCGAATGCGTCTGATACAATATGAGGGTCTAATCTGGATCCTGGAAAGTTTTCTGCTCAACTCACTCCCAATTCATATCAAAGATAAATGTCAACACACTGGAGCCTGTTGCAGAAACGATTTTGGCAGAACTAGGTACGTTACAATGGCAATTACTTATTGGAAATATCTGTTGTTATTGCGGACTATCTGAATTTTGCCTACCGGTCTTAGCCATATTGACTTGATTAGTGATTCTTTAAAGTAGCTTCATTGTACGTTTGTGTTCATCGTGAAGGTAGATTGCTGGGTACGCATGTTGTCAAGAACTGCGATTATACACGTTTTTGGGGCATCAACAGAAAATATCTTTAGATGAGTATGATGTACATATGATGACACGGATGTATATACACTATGCTGCTATGAAATACTTATTAAACAGAGAAGTCGATGTGCCTGAGTCCTATGGGGAAAATACGAATAGGTATAGGGGACTATAACTATGTCTATTGGGCAACGAAATTGCTTCGATTTATAAAAGTGGTTCTACCAATGAAGCCTAAGTCGGCAGCCAGTCAGTTCGCGAGAAAAATCTAGGACGCTATATAATCATTGCGCCTAGACGAGACCTTCTCCTATCGCAGGCAGTCAGTCTAAAAGATTTCGGGGATCAAGCCAAGTTCGCTTAAAAACCTACTATGTAGAGAAAACTACCACATTTCTCAACATGGCTACACATCACTTCTCAATGGCACATATCAATAGTTAAGGACTGCGTAATTCTTCGTAAATTTATATCAAAGTGGATTATGGCAAACTTTTAAATTACACCGACTTCAATACACTAGGTCCATCAACATCACATAATCAATGTATGCTAAATTCTGGAATAGGACAAAGTAAGAAAAGAACACTCGAGTGGCTTTTATGTTGCACAGTATTCACACTCAACCTAAATGCAGAGTTTAGGCCGATCTGTTTAAATGATTCCTCTATCTTTCTCGGGTCTTGCAAAATCAATCCCAGGTACGGGTTACGCTCCGCTGTAGGTAAAAATATCCTCGAGAAATGGGTCATCACTGAAGGCAGACGTGCATGGGCCACAACAGGGTATAAAGTCAATAGCTGAAGCGTGAAACTAACCAGCGCTGTTGGTAGACAGGCGTCCGCCAGCATCACTAACGAGGCAGGCCGAACGGCGACGTTACAACCGTCAACTTCCGACTCTATTAGCAGTCGCTATAGGGTAAAAAAGGTAGGGAAACACAAGTTAAAACGCGCGAAAATTCAAACAGATTCGAACGTTGTCTGTATATTTGAGGGATAAACCAAAAGTCAAAAAAAAAAGTTAATGCATGAAAAACGGAGTAGCACGTCGGACAATGCCAATCCGTATTAGGACCCAACAAAAGACAAAAAAAAAATCGGAAAAACTACTAGAACGTTAGATTATGCTTTACGCCTTACTAAATAAATAAGATATTTTCCAGCTTAAACGCAATTATTCAAAACTGGAAATAGGTTTACAGACGTTTTCATCTAGTTGGACGAATCAATTACACGTATATAGTTTGAAGATGAAGGCGTCTACTACCACTACTATTGTCAGATTATGAATTTTACATAAGCCCGTAAAAATTGGCCAGCGGATACGTCATCACGCCATTCAACGACATGTAAAAATATGTTC